TTGGATAACTGAACCAAAATCATCATGACGCCATCTTTTATAAACAATGATGATCAATGTCGACCATTTTATTTCTTCATCTGAGATATTTGTAAACATTTGTAAGTCTAAATCTTTTCATAATTGTCTCACCTTCTTTTTATTTTTAGGTTCTTCTTATTGGAAATATAAAATTCATAAAAAATACTCTTGGAGGGTACATGGGGTCAACTTGTCATGGATCCAATATTAAAATTGATATCAAAAAAAACAAGAGTTTGACAGTGGTATATATACAGTAAAACCACTATATAATGAAATTTTTATCAGGACACTTATGTTTGTTATAATGAGGTTTCGGTATACGCGAAGAGAAAATTTTACACACATATTATTAAAATAGTCAATAAGCATAGATTGAATTCTATTAATTAAACTTTTTCATTTTACAATTGCAACTACTAACTTTATATTCATACTCTTTAGAAGGTTCATTTGGGCTTTATAGAAACAGTAAAAAAAAAATGCCGATATATATAAATAGACCCACGTAACATTTAACCATATTTAGTATTTTATTAACGGCAATGGACTAGTCAATTTGCCAACCCTGAAATAGATTACATCAAGGACCATCAATTCAACATGTGCACACGATTAACTATTCAGGATTTCCCAACTCCATAGATTATCTAGTTTAACAAAGTCGAGGAGTAGGAAGACAAAAGGATTTTAAAAATCATCATTATTTTAAAGTTGAAAATGTGAAGGATAATATTAATTAAGAAAACAAAGCCTTTTAAAAACATTATTGCAATCGATATAGTGTGATTATTATAGCGAACTAAATTAAATTTTATTCAATAAATATTTTTTTTTAGCATTTAAATATAATAATATAATTGGCAAATATATAAGAAAAATTAAACATTATCAAAGATTAGTGCGAGAAGGACCATTATTAATAATAACAAACTAAATTATGCCATTGTGATTTCAAAGAAATAAATTAATTTGATGAAATATCAAAGTCATTTTCTTCCAATTTCCTGAAGATGACTATTCTTTTTTATTACGGCTCTCAAACGATTCTCAAGCATCAGTGCTTCTCGTTTAGCATTTGCTAATTGTCTCTCAAGATCTTCAACTGAAGTAAGTGTAGCCGTCGTCATCACACTGCTGCTATTACTATTATTACCATTATTCTCATTATTGTTATTAGATGAAAGAACACTAGTGCCAATACTATTACCACTATTGTTAGTATCACTATAGAGATCTATTGTTTCACTAAAATTATTTGATTCTGTGTCATCATCATCTTCTTCGTCGTCGTCGTCGTTATCGTCGTCATCATCTTCTTCAGTATCACTACTTATCATACTCTGAAGTAATTTTTGAATATCAAGATCAGGCAAACTGATTTTCCTAGTTTTTTTATTATTATTAGTGGAATTATTATTGTTGTTATCACTGGAATTTGTATTATTGTTTTTACTAATGTGGGTTTTTTTATTGCTATTTTTGATGTTTTTGATGTTAATATTAGTGGCAGTGAAAGTAGGAGAAAAAGTGTTTGGAAATTTGAAAATAGATGATGATGGTGATGGTGATGGTGATGATGACGACGAAGAAGTAGGTTGAGGAGAAGATGATGTCGAAACGTTGAAATTAAATTCTTTAGGTAACAAATCATTTGTTGTTGAAGCGGTAAAGTCAAATTTTCTAAAAGGCGCTGATGATGATGATGATGATAAATTACAAAAAATTGATTGACGATTTTGATCGGAAATAACTTCCTTGTCCACATTATTTTTCTTTTTATTTTTGTTTTTATTTCTATTTCTTTTGCCAGTATTGTTGTTGTTGTTGTTGTTGTTGTTGTTGTTGTTGTTGTTGTTGTTGTTGTTGTTGTTGTTGTTGTTGTTGTTGTTGCTGCTGTTTTTCTTATTGTCGTTATTATTACTTTTGTTGTCATCAGTGATAAAGAATTCATCAACTTTTTCAGATTTTGTCCCATAAAACAATCCCGAAGAAGAAAAGTCAAATTTAAAATCTGTGTTAAAATTAAAAGCTTTTAATCTGTGTATATCATTAACAGTTTTTATTTTATTTATTTCATTAACAAATGTCATAATATTTGGTCTATTATTAAAGTTTTTTCTAGATTCATCATCTTTTGTTCTTGTCGTCTTTGACGTTGTTGAATTTACATCATCGTCACATTCTTCATCGTTATTAATGTTTGTAGAAGTTGTTGAATTATTTGAATCAGAATTTTTATTATTTTTATTGTCATCCTTGCTCTCATTATCGTTGTTATTGTTGTTTGGCTTTGATTGTTTTGTCGTTTCTTTTTTGTCAAATGGTTGAATATTATTATTACAAGTAGTAGATGATGACGATGTTGCTGCTGATTTTGTTGATGCTGTATTCTTGGTTTTCTTTTTTGATTTTTTAGAAAGTATAGGCGGTGTAGGATCAATTGTTGCTGTGCTAGCAACTTTTGTTGTGGTAGTTTTATTGGTGGAATTGCTTTCACTAGACTTGTAATCATCAATATTATTTTTAGCATTCACTACCACACCTTCAATATTAACATTTTTCTTTGTTTCCTTGTTGTTATTATTTATTGAAGCAGTGTTTCTTAAATTTTTATCTTTACGTTTCGATGATTTTGTTTTAGATGATGATAATGATGATGACGATGATGACGATGAATTGTTCTTTATGTGTTGCTGTTGTTGTTTCTCTCGATGAGAATTATCATTACTATTATTGGAGTCTTTTGATAAGACTCTTGCAGTATTAGATTTGGTTGATTGATTAATTGCTAAACTACTCACATCATCATCACCTTTTCCATCATTACAATTACTGTTGTTATTGCCACTATTACCAGTAATGATATTGCTATCACCATTGTCATTGCTGCTATCATTATTGTTAACGTTATTGGTGTTTTTGCTATTTGTAATAAAATTAGTACTGGTAGTATTACTGATATTATTAGTAGATTTCTTTTTAACCTTGGATTTTTTTTTTCCTTTTTCAATAATAGAAGTTTCATAACCGTTATTATTACTATTACTATTAACATTGGTAGTAACAATATCAACGTTAGTGGTTGGTGATAACGTTGGAAAAGATATTGACGATATGACATATGATGATGACGGTGATGATGTTGGCGTTGGTGTTGGTGTCGATGTAGATATAGATGATGTTGATGTTGATGATGGTGGTGGAGATGTCATCGTCGTCGTCGTCGTCGTCGTCGTCGTCGTCGTCGTCGTATCTGTAGTGTTAATGATAGCAGCAGAAGCAGTATTGGGTCGTTCCGAAAGAATGGATTTATTCTTTATTTCTTTTGAATCGTTAATTTTTGGGCCTATATTTTATATGCATGTATGTATTTATAGGTAGGTAGGTAGGTAGGTAGATACAATTTTTTTTTGCAAAAGTAAAGAAAGAATAATATAAATATATATGTGTGTGCATGTATAAATATATATAAAGGCCACACATAACACACACATATATACATATCATTGAAACAAAAAGGTATTTTAATTATGTAAAGAGAAAGGACAAAAAGTGAATGTTAACGGTAGAGAAAGGAGAAAGGGATGTGTGTGTTAAGGAAAATTGTAAAAAGAAAAAAAGTTTTATAAAACGTTATTAAATATATTCCTGATAAATTAATTATAAAACCTTTTCCCCCTAAAAATTTAAATAAAAATAATTATAAAGGATATATATGTATAAAAAAGATTTAAAAAATTGATGATTTTGAACAGACCTTCCCCAAAAAAAAAAATATAATTGTGCCCATTCGAATTATTTTTTTTTTTGTTTGAATGCTATCTCATAACCAATTAAAAAAAACATTACACCAAAATACACCATAACGATATATCAGGAAAAAAAAAAAAGAGGAAGAAACACGCGATATTTTTTTAATAATATGAAATTAATCCTTTTCTATTTTTTTTTATTTAATTAATTAATTAATTGATATTGATGATGATAATGATGAAATATATAATATAATAATGATGATAATCTTCCTATTTAATTATTAACTAATCTTTGAATCTTTTTTCAATTTCATTATATTTGCCTTTATTGAATGATATCTAACTATTATTATTATTACTACTGCTACTATTATTATATTAATTATTATAATTATTATTTTTTTTACCAAAATTGATAAGGAATTAATAACCTCGACCACTTAGCATTGAAGAAAACCCACCTGCATCCACATTACCCAATCCAATTCCTACACCGTAACCATTACCAATCTGATCTTCTCCTGTCCTTGCCACCCGTTCAAACACACTTAATCGATGAGCTCCAACATTTTGCATTGGCTGATATTGTTGTTGGGGAATCATAGGTGGTGCTCCTGGTGCTCCTGGTGCTCTATATGGATTTTCGCCAGGTTGTGAAAAACGAACTGTCATAATTGCAGGATCTTGAAGGATATTAGGAACAGGTTCAGCTATATTTATTTATTAATATCCATTTATTTATATTTAATTGTTTAATAAAATTATTATGATTGTTATTATCATCATTAATATCATAAGAAAAATTTGATTAAATCATTGTCACTGATTGAAAATCAATCGATCGATCAATTACAAACCCTCATTATGAATATCTTCATGTGTGTTTGTGTTTCCAACTGCAGCTTTTAAAAATGCTCCAAAAAAATCTTGTGTATCATCTCTAGCAGGTCTGACTGTTGCAGTAGTGGCAGCTCCTTGTAAAAAGTTTGGATTTTGAAGTGAAATTGGTCGTATATTATAATCTTCTTCAAAATTCCATGGTGTAGTATTATGTGGGTTCCATCCACCACCTGTTGCTCCAACACCATAATCCATACGAGGTGTTGGTGTATATATACCTGGAGGCGGTGCTTTAATACTTGGAGCTACTGGATTACCAACACTAACATTAATATGTTGATGATGTTGTTGTGGTTGTGGTTGTTGGTGTTGGTGCTGTTGATGATGATGATGTGGTGGTTGCTGCATCAATATATTTTGATGATAAGAGAGATCTAAACCGTTATTTGTATTGTCACCATGAAGATTTTGAGTTTGATTTAATGCATTGTTTATCGAAGCTACAGATGATGATGGTGCTGTTGGAATTAAGCTACGCCTGATTGGCAATCCTCCGAAAGCACCAGATTCATTTGCCAAACTCCACATGGATTCCTGATGAATCTCACTAGGTCCATAACTTACTTTAGCATTAGGAAAAATGGCTCTTAAATCCTCTTGTAAATCTTTCATTGATAAAGGATCCAAATTAGAACCGTCATTGTCCTCTTGTGCAAAACCAAAACGCGACGTATGTCTAGGCCTCGAAGAAACATTATTACTATTAATTTGATGTGAAATAAGTCTTGGATCAGTTGAGTAGGAATTTGTTGATGATACACTACCGCCACCAGTACCACCAATTGATGGTAAGCCAAGAGCAGTCAATGGTGATGATGATGAACTACTTTCAGGAATGAACACATCGAATTTATCATCATCGGCTGCAAACGGATTGAATGAGCCGGTGTAATGAATTTGTGGCTGTTGATGGAGATCGGACGTAGGAGTAAAAGTTGGCGAAACGATATCTGTTCTGGGGAAACCGACACCAGGTGGAGGTGCAACAATATGTGTTCCATTAATTATACCGTTACTATCTGTGACAATTGAAGAAATACTATCACTAAGCTTATCATCTATTAGAGGATCGGATTCTAATAATGGCGCGTTAAATGAAAATGAACCACCACTAAGGGCAGATAATGTCTTGTCTAATTGAGCAACTAAATCTGGTTTTTGTTTAATCTTTTGTTGTTTTATGGAATTTTCGATTGATTGAGAAGAGTCTCTGACGGTTGCTTTGGCTTCATTTTTTGATTGTTCTTTATCTTCATTAGCAGAATCTATACTTTTTTGTTTTTGTTTTTGTTGTTGAAACGATGATGACGATGATGATGATATTGATTGTGGTATTTGTTGGTTTGATTGAGTAGATGGTTGAGTTTATTGAGTTTGTTGAGTTTGTTGATTAGATTTATTCGAATGGTTGGATTGATTTGACTGAATTTGTTGAATCAGTTGCTGCGGTGGTTGTGATAGTAGTTGAAGATTTTCATTATTATTATGATCTGACGATTCGTTCTTTTTGATGGATGTATTTAGTAAATTTATAATATTATTAGTGGTAGTGTTATTGGTGGAGTTGGGTTCGATTTTTTTATTTGTTTTAGAATTTGGTGGTTGTACATCTAAAGGACTGGTTCGTTTTAGTTTACTTTCTTGGATTGATGTAGATGATAATGATTGCGGAGGTGTTATAGTAGATGTTGTAGATGATGATGATGATGATGATGATGATGAAATTGGTGGTTGTTGTTGTGATTGTATATTATTATTATTACTGCTACTATTATTATTATTACTACTATTTGTAGAATGTGATGACGATGATGAATTTGCTGTTTGTATTAAATGTGATATAGATTGATTTGAAGATTGATTTAAATGTTGACTATTAAGAACTGGAGTTGTTTCTTGACTTGATGGTTTAGCAGCCCAAGAAGCAGTTGGAGGTAATGCAGGTGCTTTGAAATAATAATAATGATAATTTATTTTTAAAAAAAATTTTTAAAAAAAAAGAAAAAAAATAATATATAAAATAATTTTTGATAAATGATACATACCATCATCTTTATCCTCATTAGTAGTGCTTTTATCATTTTCTAAACGATGTAAAGCGGAATGCGTTAATTGTGGATGTGTAGGTGGATGTGTAGATATGTGTGAAGGTTGTGAATTTGAATGAGAGGATGGATGTATTGTTGAAGTCGATGAGGGTGCTGAATCAGGTTTTTTATGAGTTGGAAAAATGATTGTTGATGGTGTTGGTGTAGGAGTTGGACCAGATGAAGGCGGCTTTCCTAATTGATTTGGCTTGTGTGATTCTGTCGCTGCTGAATGTTCTCTGAGACTATATCTACTATGTATAAATGTATTTAACAATTTTAATTGAATCCAGCACATGAATTTATCACATATAAACCCTCATGAAATTTACAACTTACGCCGAAGCTAAATCCTCTTTTGTGTAACTATCAGCTTCTTCGCCAGGTTCATGCAGATACATACAATTCGGATTCTGACATACCATGTTTCGTAGATAATATGTACAATACTTTGTCGTGCCATAATTTGCCCTATAAAAATTTTTTTAATAAATAATAATTTAACAAATTTATTTCCAGATGAATAATAATAAAGTAATAAATTATATAGATACAAATATATAAATAAAAGAATTTACCTAAGTATTTTACCATCAGATACACTTCCATCAACAGCAGCTATAGCCTTTGCAGCATCTTCTTTCTTTACATAAGTGATGTATACACCAACACTTGGTTGAGGTGGAGGAGCACCGGGAACATTGGAAGGTGGGGGGTTTCGACGATTCACCACAATTTTAGCAATTTTACCATATTGTCCAAAATAATCATGCGATCGTAATATCTTTAATTATGATTATTCAAGATCATAAACATTATTTACTTGTAAATAATGATAATGATAATTAAATGGATAATAAATAATATTTTTGGATGTTGAATTTTATTAATAATAATAATAATCATCATCATCATTATCATCGCTTACCTCTTCGTTAGCAATCTTCGGACTTATACCAATAACATAAACTAAATTCTTTTGAACAACTCTCATATTGGCTAGATGTTTTCTGTTCATTGCCTCAAGTTCTTTCTTCTCGCGTTCTTTTTGCTTCTTTTCGTTTTTTATTCTTGCCATCCTAAATAACATATAATATAAATGTATAATATAGATAATGGTGTATTGATATATATATATATATATATATATATATATTAGTTATATATTTTCACTTTCTTTATTAAATTCTAAATATTATTAACATTAATTAAACTGTTACGAATGCAAGAAAACAATTAAAAAATCTTACTCTTCAGGCGATATAGGTGTAAATTCAATTGTTTGTTCAGAATATACTCTACGACATGCTGGACATAACCCATTTAATATCTCTTTAATGTGATGCCAACAAAATCTACAGATCTTTATTTGTTTTAAAAGATTACGATCAATAAATAATAAAATTAATAAACATATATCCAAAATTACACCATGATAAATTTATTTAAACTAAAACTATTTTATTCAATTGATTGATTTATAATTATAACCACGATAGAAGTAATTCCAATAATTCTTAAATAACTTACTTGATATCCACAAGGACATGGTCTGAAATTTCTGTCCGATATATCCATTTCCTCCATACAAAGTGGACAAACATACTCTTCCTCATCGAAATAACATTCAGTTTTAGACATTTTTGTTAGTAATAATGGCTGTAAAAGGTTAGTTGATTTAATGTTTCAAGTAATAGTGGAGAATTCAGTCAAACGCGAACTATAAAAGAAAAAGATTTTTCGTATAAAAAAAAAGATAAAAAATTTTATAATTAGTAGTGGTGGCTTATCACATTAATTATATAATAATTAAAACTGAACGCGTTGGAGCAGTTCAAAGTGTTTTTATTGAATGAACAAAGTTAATGAAAAGAGAGATAAATAATTTACTTGTAATTATATTTTATTGATGCTTTTTGTTTTTTGATGTTTAAAAATGAAACAAATTTTCGAAAACTTTACTGACAAAAAAAAAATTTTTTTTTCCTAAACAAATATATTTATTTATAAAATTAAATTTTTTAATCACATATATAATAATACATATATATAATTCTATCTAATTATTATTAATATGATAAAAAAAGAATCTGTCTGGTACCTGTGATAAAAAATAAATTATTCTCCTGAAATTTTTTAAGAATAAAAAAAGAAGGATGTGGAAGTTAATCACAATATCATCATATTATAATAAATATTATAATAATAATGTCTTTAATAGATGACATCAATTAATTTATTATTGTTGTACTTTTACCCAAAATAATCTAATCAGGTAACATAAGGAAAAGAGGAAGAACATTCAATAAATTTCACCAATCAAATGTAAATTAGGGATCTTGATCAAATAATTTTTTATCTTAATTCCACACGTGAATTTTTCGCTCCGTAAAAAAATATATAAATAAAGAAACTTGTACGTAATGACAGCAAGAAACATTAATAAAATCTATAATTTAACAAAATTTAATAAATTCCTCGTTTCAAGAGATTTTAGTTTACAAGTAACGAAATTACCAAAATTTTATTTTAACAATGATAATATAAATGCAAAGGATAATAATGTAAATTCAGTACGTTTTTTCAGAAGTAAGCTTTTTTTTTTTAAAGGAAATCAATTGAAGTAAAACAAACAAATAAATCGATTGATCAATTAACAGTTTAATTAGTAATAAGTTATTTATTTTTCTTTTCCTCAAAAATAATTAGCAATACCTTGTTTTGATTCAACAATTGAAGTTACAAATGCCCAAGAGCAAATCCCCATACCATCCTCTACATCTACCACCACCACCACCACCACCACCACCATTTCTTTTACGCCCACATTGAAGGATTCACCATCCTTTTCACCTGCTACTGTTCCAAAACCACTTATCAATGAAAACGAATTTGTTAATTATGATCCATTAATGGAGCTAACAAAAAGTCGAAATAATATATCAAAATTGAATAATATTTTTCAAGAAATGAAATCTAAAAATATTAAACCTGGTGCTACAGCTTATAATATTCTTCTAGAAGCTTATTCAAGATATGCTGATTCAATTGAAACCACAAAAATTTTACATGATATGCTAGAAGGCGGTATTAAACCTAATCTCGAAACAATTAATATTATATTGAAGGTAAATAAATAATAATTATCATCGTCATTATTATATAATTCCAAGGGGAAAAAATAAGCTTTCAGTGGGTAATAATGTTTTTGAAATTGATAAAAATCAAGTTTATTAAAATTTCATTGAATTCTTCTCTAACGTTAATAATTATTTTTTTAAAAAAAAGACATGTGCAGAAAAAACCACCATATTTCGACAAGATCCAAGCCTTCGAGAATTTACTTTTGACTTAATAAATCAATTTCAACTTGAACCAAATGAAACTACGTATGAATATTATGTTGATGCAATGATAGCGAATGATGAATTTGAAAGCGCAATAGATTTTTTTAAAACAATGAGAAAACAAGGTCTTAAACCATCATTTCGATTATATCAAAAGATCATTAAAGGTTTTATAGGTTGTAATGATGATGTCATGGTGCTTGAATTAATGAAAATGTCAGAAAATGATGATTATAAATTATTTCCTAATATGTATTTAGACATTTTAAGAGTTTGTGCTTATCAATATAATGTAAGTTTTGTTTTATTAAAAATTAATTTAAATTATACGAAAAAAAAATGATAATATCTTTTTCAAATTTGATTGATTATTGACTTTGTGTCAGGTGGAAGGCGTAATTAAGTGTTGGGATATTGTTACTAAAGATGGACTTGGGTTGGATGAGGGTTTATGTATAAATTTATTAAATTTGGCCTCAGTGTCAGGTGAAACAAAACTAGCAACTGAAGTACTTAAATATTTAAAGACTGTTCGCAAGTTAGTTAATTTGGAATTGTATCATTTAGAACCATATCTTGAAGCATTTGTCATTAAAGGTGATTTGAAAAAAGCTTTTGATGTATTAAACATTATAAGATCTTCAAATCATGTACCTACTATGAAAACAATTTCATCAGTTGTAAAATATATTGAGAAAAGTACTGAACTGATTGACAAGGCTTATTATACACTAGAAGAATTACACAAAGAAGGTAAAAAGGTTGATATATTGGCATTTACCGCAATTATTATTGCTTGTAAGAGGATTAACAATATGCCAAATAGTGCTGATTTGAAAAGAGCTGTCGAAACCTTTAAATCAATTGAGAAATTTGGCATAAAACCTGATTTGGATACATTCAATGCTTTAATAAATGTAACCATCTACTCTGGTCATAAGGAATTGGGCGAAGAAATTTTCAATGAATTGAAGGAAGCTTATGGTCTTAAGCCAAACATTGATACTTATAGACGTATGATATTTTTGTGTTTGAATCAACCAAATTACGAGGATGCATTTAAATATTTAGAAGAAATGAAATCAAAAGATATATTACCAAGCATTGAAATCTACGAGAGAATCATTAGAAAATGTGTTATGAATAGTGATGCAAGAGCTAAAATAGCTTTGGAGGAAATGTGTAAATTTGGCTATAGGCCTACAACGGATATTACCGATTCTGTAAAATTTGGTGTTTTGGTGGATAGAAGTCTTAAAAAATTACTAACTACTACTCCAAAAGATAATAATAATCTTCAACAACAAAGAAGATATCCACCACAATCGCCACGACGTCAACCCCAACCCCAACCCCAACCCCAACCCCAACCCCAACCCCAAAAAACCCAAAACCAAACCCAAAGACAAAGTGACGATGATCCAGATAAATTATTGAAAATGATAAGTGAAGCATCGCTTAATCAAGATAAAGAAGCAACCATAAAAGATGAACATATTGCTCAATTAGATGCTTTCTTTGAAAAAGTTCTTGGTCAAAAAAATTAAAATATATTTATATTACTGATTAATTATTGTTTAATCAATCATTTGGCATGTGTGACAATTTAATCATGGTTATCTATTTTCTTTTCATTTTTTTTCTTTTTATAAGAATGTTTAAATATGAATAACACATAATGAGGATTTTTTATTTATATACTATGTTAAGAATCTTTACCACATACACAATTTATTTTAAGATTTTTTTTTTATCAATTTTTTTTCTAGAAGTAATTATTGAAAATTTATTTTTTTTAGATTTAATTATTATATATAGTAAAAAATAAAAAAAATCCAAAGTACATGACCTTTTATTATTGTTTGTTTACTCTATCATATTAATAATAGTTTTTCCATGCTTCATTGTACTTTTAATATTTGGTGATTTTGATCAATTTAAAGAAAAAAGAAAATTTTTATTTTATTTTATTTCACTTGAATTTGTTGCAATGCTGTTGAATTTATTACAATTCTGTTGTATTTACATTTTCTGTGATCATACATCATATAGAACTAATTATTACTAATTATTATAATTTTAAATTGATTTAATTAGCATGATAACTATCCAAGGCCTCCCCATATTCCTCTGATTCTCCTGGCCAATTGAATATTCTTTTGCATTAATGTGACTCGTTTAGCGTGGATGGCGCATTAATAACGAGAAGAATTTTTTAATATTATTAATATTATTATCATACTATTGTTTATATTACTGTTTATGGGTTGAATTAAACATACACATCCTCACCAGAAATGCTTCGGTGGTTAATTAAAAATTTTAATGGCAATAATAAGTTGTTATATATTATATTCAAATAATACACCGATTTATATATTTTTAGCATAGTGGAAGTTTGTTGTTACACGAAACGTCATTGCTTCTGAAACTTCGCCAGTATATAGTCGTTACCTTTCTA